GGCTTTATAAACATGCTGCAAAAATTCCAAAGATTGTGAAGTCATCACCTGTGCCTCAGAACACCCAAAGGTGATGAAGCACCCCACTCACCAACAAAAGACTTGTTGATCAGCTTGAGCATGGGGTACATAAGGCCATTTAAGATGGCTCTTCAATGACCTGGAATGTTGCAAAAATCAATCCCACCTGCCTGCTTGTGTTTTGGCCTGTCTTCCCCTAGTTAGTCCCACAATGAAGGCTGTTTTGTTATTGCTGAATAAAATAATTTTATTACAGAAGCACAGTCTGTTTTCATTGACATTGGAACAGTATTCAGCTGACAGGTCCTACATTAACAGGAGAGGGCTATGGCAAAATCATATGTTTGCAATCTTCTTGATTACGAGTTGTCTTGAATAAAGACTTGATGTATCAGAGCATCTGCTGCTTCTTATCTCAGGACCAAACAAAGTCTGTGCAAATGCCTAGTGCCCCTGGGTTACTTGTTGAAAAAACAGTGGTTCCTTATTTAATGCAGCTAGATAGAGTTCAACCCTCCCTCTCGCCCCCCGCTGTTGGAGGAGAGGGGCCAAATGGAGAATCAGTATGAAATGTGTGAGGAATGGGAGAATGGAGAACAACACAGTGAAGACTCCTCTGACATGGAGAATCTGGAGGACATGGGTGAGCAGGAGGAGGAGGAAGAGGTGGTGACAGTGCTGCTGATTGAACTTGGCCTTGAGAGTAATACAAGACATGCTGCACCGCTGGATAAGGATGATAGGGTACTCAGCATTAGCATGTATCCAAGATTTCCTAGCATTGCAAAAAAGAAAACAGAGATGTACGGAGGAGTGGAAAAACCAAGAGGCATACCAAGTAGTGGAAGATGACTGGGCTGTGTTGAGAAAACTCAGGAGCAGCATCCGCATGGTCTGGGCCAATGAAAGCAGCTCAGACTGGTGGAAGCAAATTGTGCTGACCACTTGGAATGACCAGCAGTGGCTGGAGATGTTCTGAATGACCAGGGAGATGTTTTATCATATCATCTCAATGCTGGGGCCCTAGATTGTGAGGCAGGACACTAACATGTGTCAGGCCATCCCACTGGACAAGACAGTGGCAATTGCCATCATGAAACTGGTCACCCCGTCCAGCCTCTACTACATTGCAAACCAGTTCAGTGTGGCCCCCTGCAGGGCTGGGGTGGCAATCGCCAGCTGCTGCAGGACATCGCTGCAGAACAAATTTATCTGCCTGGGGAATCCACAGGAAGTCATAGATGGCTTCAGTGACATGGGGTTCCCTAACTGCATGGGGGTTTTAGACAGCATTCACATCCCAGTGCTGTGCCCTTTGGGGAGAGGGAGGACTTTCACAAACAGGAAAAGATTTGCCTCCATGATCCTGCAAGCCATGGTGGACCACTGGAGCTGGTTCATGAACATTTTTACAGGGTAGGCTGGCAGCGCATATGATGCATGAGTGTTCAGAAACTCTCCACTCCCTGGCCTCGTGGAGAAAGGACATTATGGAGCCAGAGCCCATGAGACAGTGATCTGCGGTGTTGCCATTCCCCCAGTTATATTAGCGGATGCTGCCTACCTCCTAAAGCCCTGGCTCATGAAGCCTTATGGAGGGAACGTTATGGACCCACAGAAGCTGGTTTTCAATAACCGTCTAAGCAGCTGCAGGATGACTGTTGAATGTATGTTTGGCTGACTGAAAGGATGATAGAGGGCGCTTATGTGCCGGTGCAAGCTGGAGCCAAAAAATATCACAGCCTTTGTAGTGGCAGCCTGCATGCTGCACAACATCTGTGAGACCTGCAGAGAGGTTTTCAGCCAGGTGTGGGCTGAAGAAGTGCAATAGGTAGTGGCCAGACAGAGACATGGCTGGGCAGCAGCAGGGGGACCAAGGAGATATGCACAAAGAGAAGCTGGTTCGGCAGCCCTTATGTGGGATTGTCTGACAGTACATATTGCTGACAGCAACTAGCAGTGCTTATTGTTTCTTTTGATTACAATAAATTAATTTACAATTTACAACATAAATGTCTGTGTCTGCCTGCAGAGGTGTGGGGTGTAGTGGATGAGGGGTGGTGTGGAGGATGAGCAGGGTGGGTGGGGGAGGTAGTTTGGAAGGGTTAAGTATACCTCTCATGGGCTGGCTGGCAGCAAGCAGGCAGATGGGGGGTGAGTGAACAACCTGAAGTCCACCTTAGGAGTATAACTGAGGGAGGAAATTAGCAGGAGACTCCCGGCGGGGCAGAGGGCAGGAGGCTGGGACTGTGGAGGTCTACTGTAATTCATTAGGAAAGACATTACTGGGGGTAGATTGGTATTTTGCTTCCAACTTCTGGAATCTGTGGGAAATGACACATGCAACTTAAATCTGTTGAAAGAGTGAGGCATGCAAACACACATGCGCCACACCACAATAACCCGGGTTAAAATTTTTCAGGTGTGGTAAATTAATGAGGATCAAAACCATGTCATGTACAAATGCCCTTAAAGAGCAGCCTTGAAGGATGTTTGAAAAAAGAGAGAGGCAGTGAGTCATGACATCTGCTACTTTGGCCTGGGGCAGCAGGGTTAAGCACGAGTTAAAGAGTCCCTTTCCAAGAAGGTGGGGCAGGGTGAGAAAGTAGTCTAGTCTGGGATACTGGAGGACCTGGCCAAACACTATCACCCTGTGTGTGACATGCCACACATTCAAATCTGCAGTTAGCATCCACCCTGCCTCTGTGTGACACAGAATACTAGGTAAGATGTACTTATGGTCTGACCCAGTAAATGGCAACTCTTATGTTCTTATGTCAGGGGCCTCAGTGAAAAGAGATGCATATATAAGCTGAGGAAGGTTTCTGGAAACCTTTGTATACTGCTATAGCTAAAAAAATAATTTTAACTAAAAATCATGGGTGAGATATTCTTGGCTCCATTTTACTTCAAGTGTTATTCATATTAAGCATATGGGGCATCTTTCTGATCCCTTCATAAGCAGTTGTCTCACCACCAAGGGGAGTTCCTTTGCAAACCAGAGATTTCTTCTAGAACTATAAGATTGATATTACATGTAATAAGAAATAAATGAAAGCAAATGTTGAACTAAACCAAGCAACGTATTGTCTTATATTTGCAGGCTTCCCCTCTACTGCTTCCTTACCTTTTCCTTCAATTTCTTCTTCTTCTGTCTTGTTTCTCTATAAATATTATGATCCTTGGGGCAGAGCTTGTGTGTAAAATGTCTGATGCTTCTGCATGCTGAAAAATTAGTATTAATAGCATGTACATTCACATTTAGCTCAAATTCAAGTGTCTAGCAGGACCAAGCCACAGGGGTAGCTGTGACTCTCCCTGGTGACCCCAAAACTCCTGCCCAACTCTTGTCTCTAGGTCTCTCCCTTCACTCCCATTTGTCATGCCTTGATGTTCTGAGTTGTTTTGGAAAGGAGGCTGCCAAATTGAGCCTCTTTCTTTCTGTCAGCAGAATCCTTCTTGGACCCCGTGGATCCCTATCTCCCTCTCATTAAGTGGGCCTTTTTGGTCTGTACGTGCCCCCAGTCCACTCACCACCTTATGAGATATTCAGGGCCTCCGATCTCCCTTATAGCTGTGCCCCTGCCTCGTAGGTGTTAATCATAAACAACCTCAATTGGGCATTTAGTCTCCAATGTTATCCCATGTCCTTTCTGCCTTTCCTAATCTCTGCCCTCCTTGGGATATGGGCTCCTGGCCCTCATCTCTGCCCCTCCCTGGCTGCAGACCCCTGACCCTTGTCTTTACCTCTTTCTGTGCTGGGCCCCTGGCCCTGTCTCAGTCTTACTTTCACTCTCTTGCTGGGCTCCTAGCCCTGATCTTTGTCCCTCTTGGGCATGGGGATCTTTAGTCCTAATTGTGCCCTGTTCAGGGCTCAACTGGGACCCAATAGTCCCAAACCCAAATCACTAGTCAAACTCAAATAGTATGTAACCACTCTGGCTATAACACAGTCTACCAAAATCTCCACATTCTGGGTGTCAGTCCCCAACTGGCCCTCAACTTCAGGTTGTTCTTAAGGTTGGGAGGATCTCTAAGCCAACCAGCAACAGGACCAGTCTCACTGCCCTGGCTCAGGCCCTGGCTTATATGCCACTCAAGCCCTGCTTACTTCCAGTCAGGCAACTTGTTAACCCCAAAACATTTTCTTCTCTCTAAAGGGTAGCGAGCTGTGGCTACCATAGTTACTAAAGCAGTGCCTCTGTTGCTCTAGCGATACTCTGTCTTATTGTGCTATTGCTGTATAACTAGCACAGCAATAGGCACTTTCAGCTTCTGTCCTCTGGCTGTCTATCCCTTTGCAGCTAGCCCTTATTTGCCTGCCCAAGAGCTTTTTGCTACTGTTTTTCCTTCCCTGCCATAGACTCCCTGTTACAACTCTTAGCTAAAATATCACTCAAATGCTTCTAGAATTCTATCAATATCAACAATGACTATCTGATAACCAATTTGGAAACAAAAAATCTAGCCCTCTAAATGATTTTAGACAGGGATTAAGGGAAATCTGTAAATGAATCTGTATATGAATCTGTTCTCATAGAACCTGTAGGAGCTCAACAAGATATCTGAATCAAAACTGCATGATTACTTTATTGAAAAACAGTTACTCAGCTACAGTAGGAATTTTGCAGAGATACAGCATATAGCCTTGATTACATCACAGCATTCAGAATGAAAGATTATTGGACAGCAATGTTATAACAAAACTGAATGTTTATTTGCGACCAGTTCTGAGAAAAAAGAATAAGGACAGATGGCACTTTTACAGATGCTCCAATGTGCTGTGATTAGAACACATTGGAGCAGACTCCATTAATCAAGTCTCACTCAATTAATCAAGTCTGCTGGAGTGTTCAAATCAGAATGTTTCCAGCATGCTGCAGCATCTCATGTATTCAGCATCCAGCATTTCAAAATGGCAGTAAGGTCACTTTAACTAAAGCTTGTCAAATGAGTTTTAGTTAAAGTGCCCCCTCCACCATTTTGAAATGCAGGACACTGAATACATGAGATGCTATGGGTGATTCAATTACAGCAGCTCCCAATAGCCACTCTAATTAAAATACCGCCCCCACCATCATGACCCCGGAGCATGTGTATAGGCACGCAGAGAGATTAAAACTAGAATTCACAAATTATTAACCGTTCCTCTCCACATGATCGGTCATTCCATCTACCATCTGTATACATTTCTACACAATCTTCTTCTCCTCCAGTATCATTTGGTTCTCCAGGAGCCCAGTTTGCATATCCTATTACTTCCACACTTTGATACTTAAATATGCCTTCTGTTTGCATATCATTTATATCAAGGTATGCTGCTTTGTTATAACGCTGTATTATCCGTTGTATGGCACCATTCTCAGATGAAGTCCTTGGAGAGGCAAGATGACCACCAGCTTGAGAGCATGTGGCTTTTGAAGTCTTATAGTCACCAGCAGAACCATTGGCAGCAAATAATTTTTCATTGGTTTGACTCCCATTTATGAAATCTTCAACTAGAATACAGAAATATAGTAAAGCCAAGTTAAGGGTGTTTTTTTCACATGTTAATCTATCATCCTAGAGGAATGGGGTGGCAGGTCCTAGAACTCTCTAGCAAGATGAAGAGTCAGTTTTGGTTATTCACTCCAGGTGAAATCTGCACACATTAACCCAGGAGTTTAAATAGGATAGGTGCTGTTAAAGCTGGAGCAGAGGCAGAAAGGTCTTTGGAAACCTCTATAAACTCAGAAAAAACATTGGAAGAGGGCCAATGTGGTGCCTATCTTCAACAAAGGGAGGAAGGAAGATCCAGGGAACTACAGGCGAATCAGTTTGACCTCAATGCCTGGAAAGATGTTGGACAAAATCAAAGAAACAATTATCAATAGGCTAACAGAAGGTAACATTCTGAGATATAGCCAACATAGCTTCATTGCGGGTAGATCTTGTCTAACCAATCTCATTTCCTTCTATGACCAGGTGACGCATTACCTAGACATAGAAGAGGCAGATATCATATTTTTGGACTTCAAGAAAGTCTTTGACCTGGTGTCCCATGATATCCTTATGGAAAAATTGGGGAATTATGGCCTCAACAATTTAATGAACTGATGGCTGGGGAACTGGCTCCATGGACAGACCCAGAGAATGATAGTTGATGAAACCAAATCAACATGTCACATGGTGACCAGTGGCATCCCCCAGGGCTCCATTCTCGGACCTGTACTCTTCAGTGTGTTAATAAATGATCTGGACTCTGGTGTTAGAAGCAGACTGACCAAGTTTCCTGATGACACCAAACTATGGGGAAATGGGGTCACCCTAGAGGATAGGCTGGCAATCCAGGCTGACCTAGACAGGCTTACAAGGTGGGTGGATCTAAACCTGATGGCATTCAATACTGAGAAATGCAAGATGCTCCACCTCAGGAGAAAAAAAGCACACCACACTTATAGGCTTGGTAGTGCTACACTTGCTAGCACCACAACCAAAAGAGACTTGGGGGTCATGATTCACCACAAGATGAACATGAGCCACCAATGCTATGCTGCAGCCAGCAAAGCAAACAAAACTGTGGGTTGAATCTACTGCTGCATCTCCAGCAAGACTCAGGAAGTCATCCTCCCACGTTCCTCAGCCTTGGTAAGACCACAGCTGCAATAATGTGTCCAATTCTGCACTCCACAATTCAGAAAGGATGTGGAGAAGCTTGAAAGAGTCCAGAAGAGAGCCACATGAATGATTAGAGGACAAGAGGGCTGGCCTCATGCAGAGAGGCTGAGAGACATGGGACTCTTCAGCCTAGAAAAGCACAGGTTCAGGGATGACTTGTGGCAGCCTATAAGTACATAAGGGGTATGCACCAGGAACTGGGAGAACATCTGTTCACCAGGACACCCCATAGGAAGACAAGGTCCAATGGTCACAAACTCCTGGAAGACCATTTTAGGTTGGACTTAAGGAAAAACTTCTTTAACCATCTGAGTCCCCGGGGCCTGGAATAGATTCCCGCAAGAGGTGGTGCAAGCATCTATTCTGGATACTTTCAAAAAAACACTTGAATGCCTGTCTTGCTGGGATCATTTGACCCTTGCTGACTTCCTGCCCTTAGGGCAGGGAGCTGGACCCAATGATCTTGCGAGGTCCCTTCCAGCCCTAATGTCTATGAAATCTATGAACAAAGCTTAGGCTTTGAAATAACCATATACTTTTGTTATTTCAGCAAAATATAAAGGAAAGCATCAGGAAAGAAAGTTTTTTTTACTTCGGTCACCATGTTTTTTTCTGTGTTAGATAGCATTATAATTATATCCTGTGATGGATACAACATAGGGGCACGTGGCCATAAAATCCATCAACTTTACATGATGGCATTTCCTTGTTCAGGTGAAATAAATGAGAGTTTGGGGAGCAAAATCTGGGCATTTATACAGAATGGCTGTCTCTTGCTGTCTCTTTTTTTTGCAGGGGGGTCTATGAGCGTAATTAACACACACAGTAACATTATTTCTGTATAAATAGAACTTGTGTGAGATTATTCTAATATATAACATTATCTTGTGACAAATTATATGAACTCCTTTGAATTTTGAAGAAATTGGGATCCAGAACTGCATTCAAGCTTCCGCATGTACTTTCATTTTTCCCTGGCTGGAACTAATAGCCTTTTGCTGTCTTACCTTTATGCTTTTTATTGATAATGTCTTGCAATGATTTCAGCTGTCCCTGTAGATTTCTTATTTGATTTTGGAGATGCTTGACTTCTGAATGAGAAATAATTATTTTTATTTTGACACACCAAAAAATAGAAAACATTTCTTACAGCATGAGCTTAAAAAAAGATATCTGCAAAACTAGTAATAAAACACTGTTTTTAATGTCTACATTTCTGAAGAACATTTACTATACGTAAAACTGTGGCACGGAGGGCACAGATTCACTAAGGGCCTTGTTACACATTTGCTTGCAACTGTTGTAAAGCATTGGAGTGCAGTGGTGTATTAACGATAGCACACGTTAGTCCTCACCTGAAACAAAACAACTTTGCAATGCCATGTGGGGACTTAACACATACTAAACTGCTTAAGTGTGTCTGCTTATGTTTTAACTGCACTGAGTAAGTGTTAAGTCAAACTTGCAACACCACTCTAATACTAAAAGAAAAACTACCTGTTCATTTCAATTCTAGTTCTTCGCTTCATTCATAAAACCTATAGTTAGAAAAATAATTGGTCTTTATGATACTCCTTTTTAATTAATACAATTTTAGCTTGCATGAGAGAAGCTGAATGGTGCTAACAGAAGGGCTGGTTGTTTTAACTATAGTTCATTTAAAAGTTAATAAACAGAAAGAAAGCAGGTCCAGTTCTGTTAATTTATATCAGTTATATCAAGTGTAACTCTATTGACTCAAGTTATTCCTGATTTATGTCAACATGAAAAGAAAATTAGGTCCAATAATTATATCTTCTGGGGAAATCAAGTATCACTTATACAAAATCACCCCTCCCCTCCCACCCCCAGAGAACTTTCTCAATGCATTTAGAGTCTGATCATACATCATGGTTATATTTAGCTTGTATGAAATTATAAACATATTTGAATCTGGGTAGCTCCAGGCTAAATGATCTGACTGTAACCAAAGGCAGGGTAACAGTTACTTCAGCAAAAGATAGGGTTGTCAGAATGAAGCAGGTGTGGGGGAACAGAGAACTTCCTCAATATTCTAGTCTCCCTTTCCAGGCTTGAACTGGGTTTCATAAGTGACCCAGCTTCAGTGACAACATCAGTGGGAAAATAAATGTTTGAAATACGATCAAAGTTAATGAATGAAGCTTGCCAGAGTTATGCAAAATAGTATTCACCATGAACCCACTTCATCATAGCATTGTGTATGAGAGTAAAGGTGTTTACAAACCTCAATCCAAGCTTGAACAAGAGTGAAAGTCATTTGTGCAGCTGAAGGTAAAGCTTGGAAAGCCTTTTTTTCTTCCAGTAACACACCTATTATTTGTCCTTAACTGTTGTGTCTGTGGGTATGTCTGCTTTGCTGTCACAGACTTACCTTATGTTTCCCGTGAGACACAAGACAACCCAAATTTCTTGGGTAGGTTTTGCAGCCTTTCTTTCACTACCGTAGGTAAAACTAAACTAACTGCAAAGATTACAGTCATTCATGGTTCACCATTCAACCAGAAGCAACAAAACTCACCTAGAATAATTAACAAGTCAATCCATTGAAAGCATTTGGCCAATGCTATTAAGTTTCTGCATTCCATACCTTCCTTGTTTAACTCTTTGAAAAGGTACATACTGCTTACCAGTGACGCAACATTCTGCTTTTGGTCCCCGTTCACCCATTGGGCCTTGATCACCTTTTGGTCCAGGGGACCCAGCCTTTCCTGGAAGACCCCTTAGTCCTTTCAATCCAATGGATTGATTGAGTGACATGGAAGAAACAATAATAAAACAAGTGAATAATGTGATTGTTAGGTGTTGCAAGATACAGTAATTTCTGTCAGCATCAGCATGGGGCACAAGTTAGAACATCATAAGCACTGGAGAAGTTCAGGTCCTGATCCAAATCCAGGCTTCATAGCTTGATTTTGCTGCTGTAGCTGGAACCCTAAAGGCAAAAAGAAATTTCAGTTCTGAAATCTGGTTTGGATTCCAGCTGCCCTGTTTGGGTCAGTTTCTTGGAGTTCCTGAAGTGCTTCTTAGCAAGTATAGAGCTTCAAAAAAATTCAGTGTTTAACCATTTCCTTTCTAATGCCTGCTACTGGATTTTCAAAAGACCTATATATTTAATACACCACACTGTTTTGTAAATATACTTGCTTATTTAAGGACTTAAATGGGACCTATAAAACTGTCTCTTGATCTCATTTCCCTCCATTTTCCATATATATACATGTATCTTTTTTTCTTGTCTAAGCAGGGCAAAGACTACCTTTTCCCATTTTTCATTCACAATGTGAGCTACAATGATTTTGAGATCTCAGTTGGGACTTCAGGTGACATTGTAATGTAAATGACTATTAAGGTAAAATTATTAGGACTGTGCAACATTTTGGCAGCTGTTTCGTTTCAGAGGTGTTTTGGCCCATTTTGGTGCCTGAAGCACCGAATCCAAAATGAAAGGGAAAGCTCCCAAACATCTCTGAAATTAAATGAAACCGTTCAAAACATTTAGGAAATGTTTCAGATGTTTTGGAATGTTTTGGAAATGTTCCCCTGGGAATAGTTCAGCACAGCCCTGTAGCCCTCCTTTTAAAGAGGCTGAGGCTGGGCAGGGGGTGGGCCCAGGAAGGGCAGCCATGGGGGCTTCTCCCACAGCTCCTCCCACTAGGGCAGAGGCAGGCACAGCCAGAGGAACTGTGAGAGAAGCCCCCATGGCTGCCCTGCCTGGCCCCAGCCTCCTGGCACTTAAAACAAAACAAAACAAAACAAAACAAAACAAAACAAAAAAGCACTGCACTCACCGGTTGCAGCAGCGGTGATCAGGGCCTATGAGGGCTCATGGCAGAGCCCTCATGTGCAGTACAGGTCAATGGGAGCACGCAGGATCGCACCCCGACTTGACATCTGAGCAGCAGCTGTTGCATTGCGCGGGTGCAGCACAGCTCGGAAGGGCACCATGTGCTGTCTGGGACCTGGGGTATCTCCACCTGGCAGCCAGAGCCCAGCACCACCCAGACCCAGTGGCCCCAGATCCCAGACAGAGTGTGGCACCCTGCCAAGCCATGCTGCACCCGCACGATGTGACAGGTGCCGCGCAGGTGCCAAGTGGGGGGGGGAGAATCCCTGCTACCCCCTGATGCCTGGGGGGGGCTCTGTCAATCAGTGAGTGTGGAGCTTCAGAAAAGAAAAAGAAAAGCCCCATACTCACTGGCTGCAGCAATGGCAACCAGGGCCTCTGACAGCTCATGGCAGAATCCCTCCACACAGTGTGTGGCAGGGAGGGGTAGTAAGTATCACTCCTCTGCATGGCACCTGCGTGGCAGCTGCCCCATCATGTGGGTGCAGTGCAGCTTGGCAGGACACTGCACGCTGCCTGGGAGCTGGGGCTGCTGGGGCTGGGTGGTGCCAGGCTTGAGCTGACTGCTAGGGCTGCCCCAGTTCCTAGACAGTGTGCGGCACCCTGCTGAGCCACGCTGCACTGACACTGTGGAGCAGCTGCCATGTGGGTGCCAAGCAGGGGGATGATCCTTGCTGTCCCCCACTGCCCTGTACTGCATGGTGGGGCTCTACCACAATCCCACACAGGTCCCAATCATCATTGCTGCAGTGAGTGCGGGGCTTTTTTCTTTCCTTTTTTTTTTTTAAAGTGCTGGGAGGCTGGGGCTGGGCAGAAAATAGGGCCGGGCAGGGCAGCCATGGGGGCTTCTCCCGCAGCTCCCCCCACCAGGGCAGAGACAGGCACAGCCAGAGGATTCATAGATGTTAGGGTCGGAAGGGACCTCAGTAGGTCCAACCCCCTGCTCTGGGCAGGAAAGAGCACTGGGTTCAGACAACCCTAGCTAGGTGCTTGTCCACTGTCCTCTTAAAGACCCCTAGGGTAGGGGAGAGCACTCTCTCTCTTGGAAGCCCATTCCAGATTCTGGAAACCCTTCCTGTGAAGAAGTTCTTTCTAATGTCCAACCTAAATCCGCTCTCTGTCAATTTGTGGCCATTGTTCCTAGTTACTCCAGGGGTGCTCTAGTAAATAAAGCATCTCCAATTTCCTGCTGCCCTCCCCTGATGAATATACAGGCAGCCACAATATCACCTCTCAGCCTTCTCTTATGAAGGCTGAAGAGATCTAGGTCACTCTGTCTCTCCTCATAGGGCCTTGCCCGCAGGCTTCTGACCACACAAGTGGCCCTCCTCTGGACCCTCTCAAGATTCCCTGCATCCCTCTTGAAGTGCAGTGCCCAAAACTGGACACAGTACTCCAACTACAGCCAGACCAGTGCCGCAGAGGGGAAGCATCACTTCCCTGGACTTGTTCATTATGCATCTGCTAATACATGATAAAATGCAGTTAGCCTTGTTGATCGCTTTGTCACATTGACGACTTGTGTGACTCCAAGACCCCTTTCTACTGCTGTGTTGCTGAGAAGGTCATCCCCCAGCCTGTAAGTGTGTTGGTAGTTCTTTTTTCCCCAGGTGCAGCACTTTGCACTTGTCTTTGTTGAACTGCATCCTATTTCATTCTGCCCATTTTTCCAACCTGTCCAGATCCATCTGGATCCATTCCCTCCCCTCTGGTGTGTTAACTTTGCCCCATAATTTGGTATCATCTGCAAACTTGGACGGGGTGCTCTCCAAGCCTTTATCCAAGTCACTGATGTCTTGACACTGAGCAGCACTGGTCCAAGGACCGAGCCTTGCGGGACTCCGCTGCCCACATGTTTCCAGGTTGATATCAGCCCAACCACCACCACTCCCTGGGTGCAACCCCTAAGCCAATTTGCCACCCACCTGACTGTGTAATCATCTGCATCACAGCCTGTCAGTTTATTTATGAGAACAGAACGAGATACCATATCAAAGACCTTCTTAAAGTCTAGGTAGATGACATCTACCTTGACTCCTGAGTCTAAGCATTTTGTGGCCTGTTCATAAAAAGAAACAAGGTTAGTCAGGCAGGATCTACCTGCAATGAATCCATGCTGATTTCCTTTCAGCATTATTTCCCCTGCTGGGCTCCCACAAATGTGATCGTTAATGACTTTTTCCAGAGTTTTCCCCAGGACAGAGGTGAGACTAACTGGCCTATAGTTTCCTGGTTCCTCCCTCCTCCCCTTCTTGAAAATAGGAGCCACATTGGCCCTTTTCCAGTCCTCTGGGACCTGACCGGAGCACCATGAGTACTTGAACAGCTGTGCCAGTGGCTTTGCTATGACACTGGCCAATTCCTTCAGCACCTTCGGATGAAGTTCATCTGGGCCCACTGATTTGAACACATCCATCCCCTCCAAGTGCCCCTTCACTAAGTCTGCGCTAACAGTTGGTGGGCTGGTGTCCCTCCTGTGTCTAGCTATTATCCAACTGGGAGATTTGTCTTGGTCTGTGTCTAGGAATACAGATGCAAAGAACTCACTGAAGAGCTCAGCTTTGTCTCCCCTCTCTGTCACTAATTGCCCTAGTTTGTCCTGCAGGGGTCCTATGCTACCCTTCGCCTTCCTATTGCTCCCTATATACCTGAAGAAGGACTTTTTGTTGTCCTTAATTTTCATTGCCAGCCTAAATTCTAATCTTGCTTTGGCCTTCCTAACTGATTCCCTGCAAGTGTGAGCCAGGGAGGTATACTCCTTGGTAGCTACCCCCTGTTTCCACAGCCTTTATACCTCTTTCTTTGCCCTTAGGCTTTCCTGAAATTCCCTGTTCAGCCCAGGGGGCCACAGGAAAACCTGTAGCTGCCTGGCTGTACCTGCTTCTCCCCAGCTGATCCGAATCAGCACCAAACTCCGAAACAAATTTGATCAAATATAAACAGAATAGTGATCTGAAACACCAAAATGAATTACTGTCCTCCAAAATGGCCGAATCTGAAATCAAAATAAAACAGCCATTTCACATAACCCTAATACAACACTGTATAGATCCTTTTGTAAAGTGGGTTGAATCTCTCCTTGATCCTTGCCCCTTCCTGAAGCAATGAGACCTAATGATCTCTTTCAGAGTTTATCACTTCCAGCTTCACTACCAGCTCACCTCATGCACTGTCTTGACCACGCAGGTACACATTCCATCTTGGTTTTGGCTATCTCTAAGGAGGATAGAGGCATTTCATTTAAATACTTGTTTTATTTTTTTAACCTTTTTGCTAATATTGCTATGCATGCCAATTAATATAATTGATGCTGAGTACCTTCATCACCATAACATGTGCAGACAAGCTAGCATATCACAGACTACAGCACAATTTTAGCTCATGACTCTTTCTGGCACTGCCCATTTAGAACTGCTAGCTTGGAGGTGAAAGGCTCTAGAACTTAGTACCTAATTCTGGAGCATCCAATCCCTTATTATAACATAGATTTATCTGGTCTCTCAGCAAAACTGTTAGCTTTGTCTAGTGTTTAATATTTATACATGAGTTTAATAATTTCCACACTTTTTTGTGACTGTGGTACAAGTGCTATGGGACTACATGATTTGTAATATGCATCCTTCTTGCTTGTTTCTTAAGAAAAATAGGAGTGGGTAAATGGTAAATAAAGAAATATAGCTATACCTCTATCTCCCTTTTCTCCTTTAAGACCATCTTTTCCATCTTTTCCTGGTAATCCATTCTGAGCAGGTGCACATACAACCAGTGTACATGCATTTGAATCCCATTTTCGGACAACCTGATCAGGATTTGGATGGGTGGTTACCATGGATGACACGAGGACAAAAGTATGGAAAATGGCAAGGAAAGATATCATTGTTCAAATGTCTATCCTGTAAAGAAAGAAAATAATAGAAAGAGATATTGTAAGGACTTTGTAAACTGTTTATGTTGCAATACAACATATTGCCTAGATACACGTACTAAATGACTATGCATTAATGACTGTGCAATCAGTGTTTCATGTAAATGAGGCCACTGAGCCTTAATAATTTATAGGATTTTTTTATATATTTCCTTTATGGTGCTTCAGTGCTTATGAAAACACTTAAAACTGTAATACATCATTTAACATCTTGAATGTATCCTTTAAGACAAGCATAGCTTTAAACAAACACACACAAAACCAAACAGCAAATTGTTAAGTCCTATCATTCACTTATTACCTAGTTGTTTGAACAAAAGTAATCATTATAAATTAAATAGAAAAATGCTTTTAAGAAGGTGAATTGGCCTTGATTTTTGTTGAGCACTAGTGCACTGTTACACTAGAAATGTTAGCAGCCAGGCTATATAAGTAAGCATAATTCAAATATCTCCAAAATTCAGATAGTTTAAGGAAACTCTGGTAATACATTTCCTACAAATTCTACATCATTCATCATTAAAGAACAGAATTAAAAGAAGCATTAAATATACCCTCCAGTCACTTACTCTGAAATTTCTGGATTTCTATGGAAGCTTTACCAAGAATATTTTTCTTAGGGGTGGACCCCTTATTTATATGCTCTGCATTAAGTAACATGAGCTCTGGTTTTACAGGTATGCCAATACATTGGAGTTTCACTTTAGAAGAAGTATTGTGTGTGCTCATTGAAACCATGATTCTAAGAAGGGTAACCACAATAAATAGAACAGCTATTGTTGAAAATGTAATGGAGGAGGAACTAAGCTGGCTGCTACAACTTCTCCATGAAGTGCATTAATTTTGTAAGCAAGGCACGTAGAGTGAGAAGCTGACATTTTGGCCTATCCAAATTGCACATAAGTCCATAACAACCTGGAATTTCACCACGTTATCAATTGGGGCTCACACTACCTTATCAACAAGTTAGTATAAAAAATTCATATACACTTGTAGGTTCTTTGAAGATCTTCAATACAGTGTGCTCAAGAAATGAGTTTTTATTTTCTAATGCATATAGTGGTCCTCCCCTTGAATCATTTTATGACTTCATTTTCTCACAGCACTATTACCACATTAAACAGGACCATGAATAAGTTTCTACTTCCACAAGTTTCTTCTTAGCTCCAACCACTGAGGCAATGTCTACATAGCAAAAGGTGCATTTTTAACTTGAGCTAGCTAATGCATATTTAACTCCTAGTGAAAATAAGGCAATTGTCATTCTAGCGCACAAATTAAAATACACACAAGATTCTCCACTGGCATCTACCTAGGCAACTAATGCATGTTAAGTGCCTGATTTAGAATCATACAATAGTAAGGTTGGTAGTGACCTCATAAAGTCATCTAGTCTAACCCACTGCTCAAGGCAGGATTATGCTGAACTAAACCATTCAAGTGCTTGCCTCATCCAGTTGTTCTCATCCAGGGTGCCACAACAGCCTTTTAGGGGCACTATGGTGTAGGCACTGCCACCAATGCTGCCACCGGCACTGCTGCTGCAACGAGGAAGTGGTGTGTGTATCTTGTGTGGAGATACAGACTAGGATGGGCTATGACTAAGACATGTGCTCTTGCATTAGGGTATCTGATAAACCTAAAGGAAGCAGCAGAGCATGCTCCTGCTGCACTTCTGCCAGCTTCACACAAAACACACAGGGCAGTTTCACCTCACTATGTCGGTTATGGTGGCACAACCCTGGTTGAGAATCACCAAGGTAAAGTGAAGCAGCAAAACAGTGGTTCTCAACCAGGGTGCTGCCAAGTTCAAAAAAGTTACAGAAGGAGTACCCCAAATGTCAAAAGTTTGAGAACCACCAGTCCAACCTTCTCTTAAAGACATCCAAGAATACAGATTCCACAACTTCTCTGGTAGCCTGTTCCAATGTTCTCACCACCCTCGCAGTGAGAAAGGTCTTAATAAAGAACTAGGATTTTATTGTGTGATAAAAAGACACTTTTTACTTGGTGAAAACAGGGCAAGGCTTGCCTATCAACATATTATATTAAAGATAGACACTAATACAGGGTAAGATATCACACCACAGTATTTTTTATACAGCAGGGCAGATCAGGAAGAACAGTGTTGAAGCTTGGTTTTGCAGTTTATTTTGTTTTGCATAGTTTACATACCCCGAGGCCCCAACCTGAAACTTCTTGTCAAAATTGTGCAGCGTTTGGTGAATTTCCAACTCCAGAGACTGTGAAAGAGTATTAGATAAACAGGGTGGTTATACATGTACTCTGGGCATGGGGGGTGGGTGCTTTAATTAGAGTGGCTCATTGAATGAGCTTTAGATAAAGCCCCCACCCCCCTGCCACCATTTTTAAGCACCATGACACTGATACATGAGACACTGTAGGCTGCTGAAGCATGGTAATTAATTACTTGATTAATCAAGTCTGCTCTGACTGCTGTAATTACAGTGTGTTGGACTATCCTCGCTGCTCAGATATAGGTGCCCATAAAGTCAGTTTTATGAATGCTTTGAAATTTTGAAGTGCTTTTCTATCATAGTACCCATCTGAAGAACTGCTTCTAGTTCATAAATGAGTGAACTGAGTTAGTCACAGCACGCCTTTAGGTCCATATTAATACATATCAATGATTCTTCCTTTGGCTAATTCAAAAATCCTGCATAGGAACCAGTACCAGAACAGGGGATCTGCAGACTACTTTGTAAGACTATTTATCTGTTTTCCTCCCTACCCACCATGTGATGCTTAAGTGTAGAGCAAGAACATGCACAGGCCTTCTGCATGAGGAGCGACCTTCACTTGGTCATCAACAGTTGTTTGTGGTTAACAAAAGAATCCTTCTAACAAGCATGCAAATAATAATGCAAACTTAAGTAGCAATTTTGAGGGAGTTTGGTTCCATTGCAAAAGATTAGCCAAGTCACCATCCCTCCATAGTTTCATTTGCCACATGAAAAATAGGTGTTAGCATGAGCTAAACAAATGAACATTTTAGAAGGATTATATTGTTGAAGTACACTAGAATGTATTTGGAGTGACAATGAAAAAGCAGTATTTGCAATGTTTCAATACCACTTCATGGGGATCATCACTGACCATAGCGATTGGCCTTAATTCGGTTTCCTGATGGAACAAGTTCTGAAGACAAGTACAGAAAACTGAATAAGAAAGCTCAGTGTTTTTCTTTCTAGCATACTTGTCCATCTGCTATGGTACATGAGAAGTAAGGATAACTTTTGGCTTCTGAATAAGTCTGGACAAAATGAAAGATAAATTATAAAATAAATAAGCAAGGGGATGCCCAGGACATATACAGACAGAGAAATATTCAAGAACTGAATTTCAGTATAAAGATTTCTTTAAACAGCTCCCCATAGTGTGCTATCACAAATAGCACCATTGTGTTTGAGAATCAGAAAGTGAAGTTGCCAAGAAAATTCAATGAAAATAAAACCAATTATTAGGTCTGTGTGAAGCAGCTAGCATTCACTTTGGATTTAGCCGATTCATCCGATTCAGTGGACGGTGATTTGATTTGGTGATTCAAATCACTGTCCTGAATCGATTTGGCTGAATCAGCTAGGCCCATCACTGCCCACTCTCCCAGCCCGGCAATGACTGCCCCACCCACCCCAGCTCCCAGCTACCCCTCACTGCCCCACGCTGTGTGGGGGGGCTCTGCATGAGCCCCCTGACCCCCGCCTGCTCCCCCAGTCCCCCACTCATGGCTGCCCTGCCTGCTGCAGCTCCAGCCCTTTAAGAAAAAAAAAAATACAAGAAAAATCCTGAACTCACCATTCCTGCCAGTGGGGGGCGATCCCTGCTGCCCTGAACCATGTGGGAGGCTCTGCATGAGCACCCTCAAGCCCCAAGGCAGGAGCGGTGAGTCCCAGAATTTTTCTTGGTTTATTTTTTCTTAAAGGGCAGTAGCTGTGGTGGGCGGGGCCACCATAGGGGGGCTGAAGGAGTGAGAGGGGGGTCAGGGGGCTCAAGCAGAGCCCCTCACACAGCATGGGGCAGTGGGAGGGCAGCAGGGATCCCCCCCCCTCCTCACCTGGCAGCACCCAGTGAGTCAGGGCTTTTTTTTAAAAGCACTTGGAGCTGGGGCAGGCAGGACAGCCATGGGGGCGGGTGGACTGGGGGAGCAGGCAGGGGTCAGGGGGTGCTAGGGGAGCAGGCAGGGGATGGGGCCTGGCAGGGGTCCCCTCCCCACTCCTCCATCCCCACCTCCCCCACTCCCTACTTACCAGCTCCAAGTCTGGCTGCAGCTCCCTGCTGCAGCCGGCAGGGACTGTCCAAATCATCAAAGCTCTCCGAATCAGAGATTCAGCCACTGAATTGGGCCAAATCTCCAAATTGAATCACCACGCAATGCTTCACACAGCCCTACCAATTACCCCATGTTAATTGTCTAAGATGAGTGAAGTGCAAATTATAGAAAGTTAAATTAGGCTTTAATTATTAATTCATTTCTTCTTATCTAAGGTGTTATTAAGACTTATTATTACAGAAATAAGCCAGATCCTCCCCAGGTGTACATCACTGTGAGTCGATGGAATCAGGGAATGTATATCTATTGACATCAGCTGAGAATCCCTGTTGCTTAAGAGCAAAATGCTGAACTGCAACAGGAGTGAGCTGAAGACTAATGTGGAGTTGTACAATATCAGAACACTTCTGCATTTCTTTGGAAAATTATATCTTGTAGTTTACTCTTTTTTTAATCCTGTACTTGAGTATTTATAATTTTCACAAAGGTAATTTTTTATTTGCTTAACACCTTTCAATTAGGTTTATTTAATGCAACTCTAAAGGAGATTAACTTAAACCACAAAATTCAGATATGTATAGAGATTCAATCCATTACATTTTGAAGTCTGGATCCAGACTTTGGGTTCAGCCCATTATGCAGACAGAAGTCAGGTGCAAAATGCAAATATAAATTCAAGCTCATATTTCAACCTTGGGATCAACAACACTTGCCAGCACACACAATTTTGGTTTGGGTTTTTAAGGACTATATTTTGGACTGTCCAGAACAGAGATTTTGGCTTTGGTCCATCCCTTGGCAATGTATCTAAAGCACTACAAAAATTTAACTCCTGTCACACCGATCTTAAGCAAACAAGAGAAAAACAAGAAAAACGAGAGCATATATTATGCAATTATGTTCCACTAAGTAGCAGAGCTTTAAGAGGTCATTTGCCATTGTGTTCAGTGGTAGATAAGTGTCCCCAAGAAACATTTAAAGAAAATAAACTTTATATATATGAAGGTTAATTACAGACCATATGTTTGAAGAACTGACTCAGTTGCATAAAATAATGGGTCAATTGTGTCATTTAAATTTGGGAAAACATACCAGGGTTGTTTTATCCAACTCAGTGAGTTTGGTCCAGTTAATTTCTGGTTTGGTACAGTGCCTTTTGGAGTCCTGGTGTTATAATACCTGTATGGTAGGATACATTATTTTCCCCAGGTACTCCATATGGGAAAGATAAAAATGTTAAAAACAATTTACTGGCCTCTACACTAAATCACTGTACTAATTCTGAGTAGGTACTTTATTGACATTGAAAAATCCAGCTAATTATCCAGAATCAGACACAGGGGTGTGTTTTCTTTGTTTTCTAGGGGGTTTTGGGGTTTTGATAATTTTTAATCCATAAAAAAATATAAACCATGATGTGTAGTTTAACAGAGGCCCTTCTACATACTTCATAGGCAGGACTGGATTAATCTTTTAGTGGGTCCTAGGCAAACAAACTCATGAGCCTCTACTTAATACTGTATATTTCTATTACTTTTTTCACTCAATAATTATAATATGTAAAATAAACACACCTGGGCCCCTTCTTCACTTAGGGCCCTAGGCATGTGCCTAGTTTGGCTATGCATTAACACAACCCTGTCTCTAGGCATTCTAGTTCACATTCATCAAGTAACATCACTTACATTGTCAGAGTTCTGATTGCACTAAAAGATTTAAGAAATGCAGTTCTTTATTTATTGGAGATCTTTTATTCACCTCTACTTTTTAACCATATAATGGTGCTAGCAATGAAATATAATAGCAAAAATTTCAGATTGAGGTTATCATTTTGCATAATATTGTAACTGGCGAGACTCTAAACATTCTCTTTTATGCATGTATCTCACGGGAAGAGCACTCTGCCAAATCTGATCGGTTGCAATGCTTCCTCACAATGCTTCTTGAGCTTTATTTGTCTCAAGAAGTCTATGGACCAACAAGGGACAAGGTGCTGCTGGACCTGGTACTGGCCAAAGGAGTGATCTAGTCAGTGACCTGAGAATTGAAGGGAAGCTGGAAGTCAGTGACCATGAGTTGATCAATTTCTCTATTCACTAGAAAGCTGGCAATTCAGTCAGCAGTATGGAAGTCCTTGACTTTAGAAAGACCAACTTCCACAAGCTTAGGAGGCTAGTTGTTCAGGCCCTGAGAAACTACAGTCTGGCAGGGAACAATGTCCATGATGAATGATCACTCCTCAAGGTTGCAATCCCTGACAAGGGAAGTCCATTCCAATCTGTGGAAAAAGTAGCAAAAGGGCTGGATGACCCCCTTGGCTCAATAGGGAACTCAAGGACTTCCTGCACCTAAAAAAAGAAGCTTATAAAGGATGGAAGATGGGCAACATCACTAAGGAGGAATATTCAGCCCTAGTCTACACCTGTAGGGAGCAAAGTAGGAAAGCCAAGTCTGAAATCAAGCTCGAACTGGCCACTCAAATTAAGGACACCAAAAAGTTCTTCTTCAAATATGTGGGAAGTCAGAAAAAGAATAACGGTAACATTGGGTCCTTATTAAACCAAGTGGGGCAGCTGATAACTGACACTTAGGAAAATGCCAATCTTCTTAATAACTACTTCATGTTGGTCTTCCATCAGCCCAGTGGGATCACCCTGCCTGACAAGAGGCAGGATCTCCAAGGGAAGGGCAAATCTGCAACTATCATTACCACTGATCTTGTGAGGGAACATCTTAAGAGGCTGGACATCCACAAATCAGCTAGCCCAGACGGAATGCACCAAAGAGTGCTAAAGGAACTAGCTGACATTATAGCACAGCCTATGGCAAGGATATTCAAGAACCCTTGGTGCTTGGGTGAGGTGCCTGATGATTGGAAGAGGGCCAGTGAGGTGTCTATCTTCAAGAAAGGGAGAAGCGAAGATCTAGGGAACTATAGGCCAATTAGCTTGA